TCATATTTATGTTGGTATATTATTATATTTATGTTTATTTTTGTAATAAAAAAGTTTTTGTCGTACAATAAAAAATCGTAGATCCCGATCGTCACAACGAATTTAAGTTGTTGGTACCATACCTTCGTTATGACAAGGTTATACTGTACCATGAATTCTTGGCAGGAGACCATTGTTTATCAGATGATTTCTAATATTTTCAAAATAAGTCCTACCAATTCCTAACATATTGAGATAAGTTTCTTGACAAAGGAGTGTATTGTGATCCCATTGATAGAAAGTTCTTTTATTAGATCTGGTTTTCTTTTTAAGGCGTCTACTAGTACTTATTGATCCACCATCCATTGCCTTAAGTTGGGCCATTAAAAATATGTCTTGTTCTACTTTAGAAAGAGCTTGAAAAGATTCCCTTAATTCTGCAAATTGTTCCTTGGGAATTCTTGAAGAGCATCCACAACCACAGCCTTTTTCTAAAAAATCAATGGCCTTTTGATATTCACTAGAACCATTATATTTATTATTAATTTTCATATACACTTATCCCTATATATATTATTTTATAATTTTATGTTCACTTTGTAGTTTTTTATGATTGTTTTAAAGTTGAAGGAAAGTATATGAATGGAATTAAACTTAGATGAATCAATGTAATAGTTTTAGGTAAATGATTTAAAAGATATGATTGCTCAATAACTTGTGAAGAGAAATTGGAAAATTTGGTCAATCTCCCCATGAAAAATAATTATGGCCTAGATTTAAATTGGCTTATCATCATTAATAATCAAAATGAGAAAAGACAACTTAAAAAGCAAACAATAAATGAAATAATAACAAGTTAATAAAAAATTGACTACCTTTACCAATGAATTTTTCCACACGTTGTTGATCATAAACAGAAAATGTTATTATTGCTTTAACAAATCATGTGTAGTGATTTATATTTTGTTTACTTTTTATAGATGTAAAATTTACTTAATTTATTTGAGATAATCAATTAAATATCTTCTGAATAGATTATAACAATAAGGTTAATTATAATTTATTTATATTTTTATTATTTATATATTATTATGTATTTTTAACATAAAAAGGATTATCCTCTAAGAAATAAAGGTAATTTGTATTTTTTCAATACAATTAATTATATATCTTGATTAAAATAAAAACAAAATAAACAAACATGATATTGCTATTTAATACTTTCCTCATGTGTAAATTCCTTTGTTCTCACCTTCATCACAATGATTATTCAATACATTTGATGTTATCATTGACATAACAAAAAATTGCATCACCTAAGTAATAAATAATACCAAGGCCATGCAGAAATGAAACTTTTAATAATGCATGTCTACCCAGATCTCTGGGGTTCACAATAATAAATTATTCTTCATGATTATCAATCATGGTTCCTTATGAATGATAAATCTGATGTTGATTGCAGGTGTCAGATTTAACTAAATTTTTCCTATCACAAACATGCAAGCGAATGCAATTGCACACCCTTAGCACCATGGAATTTTTTCCACAAGTAGGGGCAGATTGAACATATTGGAAGGCTTTGGACAAAAACATTCCCTTATCTTCCCCTCAGACCAGGCTTGGCTGTCACCATATGGGCATTGACCACTGATAGCTGGCACTTGTATGATGATTGCTTTGTGTTATACCCCTCTCACTGGAATAAAGTTTATGTCTGCAACTGGTTGAAAATTCTCCAACTCTGGAATTAATTATTCAAAATGTTTATTTTGTTGAAAAAAATATACATTGATAGTGTACATTTTCTGTGCTTAACATCCATGTGACCCTAAGTCTAGACAAAAGATCCCTTTCTATGAGTTTGGCTGGTATATCTCAAAGGCGTCTCCTGTCTTATCAGTGGCATGCCTACTCACCAACAATCCTGCCCCCATTTAAATAACAAATTCAGTTGGTCAGATAAAAATTAAAGAGAAGCAGAAAATTTGGGAAAATGATTAATTTATAACAAAATCCAAACCATTTTATTTTACAGCTTTCTCCTTGATTCCAGTGATCATGGTGACTATCACAATACATAAGAGTGGGCAGAATCAAACTGCCACCTTTATACTTGTAAGATACATGCTCTCATTGAGCTACAACCCTTTAACCTAGGGTGGGAGGTTATATGGGGAAAAGTTCCCATTTAAAAAAACAACAAATCCAGTTGACAAATAAGAGAAACAGAAAATGATTAATTTATACAAAACATACCAAAATCCGAACCATTTTTATGGCTGTTTTCTTGTTGGCCACATTGCTGACAAAAGATGTATATAATCATGCAATAATTTAACCTATAGGACAGAAGACTGATTGGGCAAAAACCCATCCAGTCTCCTATCCAAAATTATAAATTGGTTAGTATCTGAGAAACAGAGCACTTAGGAAAATGATTATACAAAACAAACACTATTTTACAACTTTCCTCTTAACATCAGAGCCCAAATGCAATTTCAGGGCCACCAACCCTGCTCTGAATTGTGACCTCCTGTGCTGGAAATGAGCTGCAGATTCTCTTAAGAGTTGCAACTTCTTGGTCATGGAGCCATCCTTATCCTAGAGGCAGGATCATTGCAGGCAACTTTTTGGCTAACATGCCAGCCTTCTCTGGTCCTGGTGCTGTGTGGGAAGATTAGTGAAAAGCATCCTTGACGATTGATGCAGTCTTGGTAAATTCCAGGCTCAAGCGCCTCCTGGAATTCTGTTGCATTATCATATCTTTAGGTCCTCAAGTCAGATTAGCCTTGTGTACATGAGGAACATGTGAGAATGACTGTAATGTTCAAGACAGCGTGCGTGCTTTAACGTCTGTAAATTTCCAATAATCAAACTTTGCATATCAAATTGTTTCTTTTTTAACAGTCAATGCTGCCTTGACATCTTGTAATAAATATTAATAATAATATTGATTACGCAAAGCAAAATAAAATCAATGAAAATCTTGTAATTACCCAGCAAGATCTGCTCCGCGTTTTGATTTCAATTATAATATTTATAATAACCAAAAAAGACAATGCAAATTAAAAAAAAGTTACCTCTGGTTAGTTATTAACACGTATTCTTTAGGAGACCCAAACCAAACCAAACAACAACACTCGCGTTTTGTCACCTTGGACTCTGTCAAAAAATAAATTGTTAAAAAACCAATAGGATAAATAATTAATGTGTACGCGTCGATCAAATAAACAAACTTTATTTTTTTATAAATTTTTATTAAAATGCCACCAAAGCGTAAACAAAATCAAAGAAATAAAGAAGAACATATCGAGAAAGAAAAATGGTAAGTGTTTTAAGAATGGTGGTGGTGGTTATCGCCCACCACTCGTCACTCTAGTTAAAAAAAATTTGACTTTTTGTTTTTTATTATTGTTTGTTGAATAGAGTTAGTAATGAAAATGAAAAGAATGAAAATTTCCACAACTGCAAAAGTTCCTTTACTTGGAGGAGTACATTATTACCTTTTTTTTTTTTAGAAAATTTTTCTTATATAAATAGTTATCTAGCTAATTGTCATATTTAATGAATGATAGGACTTAAATCTACCAAGTGGTAAAAAGATCAGTGATATATTGTTACCTATATATAAGGATGCCAATGAAAAGTGAATATTTTGATTTTAGTTGTTTATATTAATATAAACAATAATCTAATAATAACAATGATATTCAATATCTTAGTGACTTGATCAAAATTGGAGTACTTGACTTAGATAACCCAAGATATAAAGATCCTTCCTACAATGAATTACTAATTTATAAAAGAACATTGGATGACCTTGTTTCTTCCAAGAAAATTGGAAAACAGATATTTCAAAGGATAGATGAAATAAAGAAAATTGAAGGTTTTGAAGAAGCACAAAAAAACTTAAAGTTATGGTATAAAGATGATGATTTATTTTCAACAGATTTTGACCCCATGATAATGACATTTCTTCGAAGACTTGTTGAGAAAATGTAAGTTTTTGATTTATTTATCACATAAGAAAGCTGCATATGTTGGAATGAGTTGGAATTCATTTAATTTATTTAACTAAAAATTTTTGTCTTTTTAGTCTATGTTATTTTAATCTTAATTCAAGCTATTGGGAATTAAATCATTCTGAAACACATAAGCACAGTGGCTTATTTTTTGACATTTTCTGTGATCTCTTTTATAATATAAGTTATTCTATAGAGGGACATAAGTAAATATCTATATTATCTGAAATCTCATTTATTACTATTTATCATTGATTTATTTTTATTATCATCATCATAGGGGTTTACGGGCAAACAAAGAACGTCGTAACTTATTAAAAACAATTGATGAAAATGTTGAGAAGGCTCTTGTGCCAGATATTACTATTGAGGATTTGAGGAATAACTTAGAAGTCTTGATTGTAGAGCATGGAAAGCAACAGTTGAATGATAATAGAAGAAAGTTTTTCAATGATAAGTTCAAATCATGCATCTTACTTCATGACATGTTACGATCTGTTTACAATGAATTGAGATTTGTTAATGAAGAAATCAAAACATTTGATTTTAGTGTTTTTAGTGTGGTGACATCTGGTAGACTAAAATTATAATTAATTTATTAATATTATATATATATTAATATATAATATATGTCATTGTTATTTTTTAGGGTTAGAAATGAAAATTTTCTCGCTTTCATTAGTAGCACCAGAGCTATATGTTCTACAAAAAATTTCTCAGTATTCCTTACCCAGAACTATTCATAGTTTCAGTTCATTATCCAAAAATGCATATGAATTAATAAAATTCCGTGTAAGTGCATTTTAAATTTGCCAATTAAAATTTATTTTAACCATATATTAATTAATGAGTAACTTAATTTAGATATTATTTGACCAAAATGTTAACAATCTTTACAACAAACTAAATGCAATGTCATTTTTGACTTCACAACATCAACAATTAAAATGGATATTAGAGGTTTCAATTGAGGAGAAGCCAAAAACCAAAAAAAAAATAAAAGACAAAGAAAATTAAAAAAAATTTATGGTTTTTTTCTCCGAAGTAATGAAGACATATACAATTATTTTACTACATAGAATAGTACCAAGTTTTATTTTAAATACTCATAAAATAGCATTGTTTTATTTAATATAATATGTGTTAGATAATATTGTAAGGTTTTTTATCTTTTCTATGGGTTTAGTTATCGTTGCTAAATGTACTTGATTTTAATAAAGTCTGAGATAATTTTCAATCTTCTTCAGTTGGATATTAGATCTTTTTGTAAGCAAATGAATCCTTCCTTACTCAACCTAGTTGTTTATATCTTAAGGATACTTCTAATGATGCTGTAATTTTTGGGTTCCATTGTAGATCTGATATAAATTAGTTTCATATTAATATTTTTTATATAGAGATAATCCTATATTAATCCTGTTATGGTTTATATTTACCACATTCTGGTATGATGAAGGGAACATTAAAATTAACAAGTCCATAAGTTATGAATGAGCACTATTATTACTTTTTAAAATGTCATCAGTCACCCTGGTCAATTTTACAGCCACATCATAAAATCAGCCCCTCATTTACATCACATAACAGAATGTTCACTTTGGTTTTGTTGCAGTCTGCCCCAAATGATTTTTAACTTGTAACTTTTTGTTTGTAAAAGTATGTTTATTTAGTTCCTGCATTTAACCTGTCATAGCTGATACCTTAATATATCTTATCAGACAATAGTTTTTTGGCTTTGTTTTAACGAGAATTCGAGAAATAAATAAACCACTTAGTATTTAGTATTGGTATGTGGATTTTAAATGCGTGTGAAATTAAAATTGGTCAATCAAAATTTTGTACAAAACACCTTGCACAAAATTTAATTATAATTTCCTCGCACAGAAAATGCACTGAACGAACATTTTAACAAAATAACGCCTTTCTGTATATTTTTACAATAGATAGTAAAAAAATGATTACAATGACTACAACAAACAACTACCATCATTAGAAGGATCTTGTTCTCTGTTATTAATATATGTTGCACAAACTAGTAAGGGTTTTGTACCACATAAATATGTTGATCAAATTTTTATTTAAACTTAAAAGTATTAGTATATATTAGTATTCTTTAATGGTAACACAAAATAATTTTTTGATCATGTTCTTGCATTCTTATTGGCCAATTTAACGATCAGCTAAGTAAAAATAGTCAATCGACCAACTTTTAAGGAAGATTTTACGAAAACCACAAGGACAACAACCGAATTTTTATTCATTGATTAATCAGCTAAATCCCAAAAGACCATTTTCATATTAGGAAGAAATTTATATGTATTTACAGTTATTTAGAATTTGTGACAAAAGAATATGAATATTAATTTTTAAAATATGGCTTTGTTACATTGTAAAGATGATGTGTTTGCAATATCAAACCATTTTTCAGATTTAAAAATTCATGCTTGTATGATGAGTTATAACAGTTTTTATGCAAAGCGATTTCTAATTAAATGGATTTTAACAAGTAGAAATTAAAAGGTTTATAAATTTGGAAACAAAATAGCTAGAAAAAAAAATTCAAGTGTTTTTGATTAACAACGCTATTTTTTTTTTATTTTTAATTATATGTATTGACAGTTATTTAGAATTTATGACAAAAATTGCATTTTTAACATGAAAATATATCAATGTTAATAAGTATTTTTAAAATATGGCTCCGTTACATTGTAAAGATATGTTCTACAAGTTCAAAACATTTTTCAGAATTAAAAATTCTCATCAGTATGATGAATTATAACCGTTTATGTTTCTTTCATTATTTATTTGATTTCCCTACAAGTTGTGCGAGTTTTAAAGATTGTCTTTTTACAACCTTACTTTCTTAACCTTTATATATTATGTTTATACATGAGATGTAATAGTAGTACTGGCATAGAACATTGCCTTAAATTTACGGTCGATTTTACATTTGAAAAAGTCGGATGTTGTGCATACAGTGCTGCCAATTTTGGAGTAAATTAACAATCTTGAGAATTCATTTGAAAGTCTCATGTATACTCACATAATGACATAGATTTAAGTTTTGTTGACGATTTAAAATATCAAACAATTTACGCTTGAATTCCCAATAAAATATTGAATGAAATAAAAATACCACGACTTTATGCTTATACGTGTTTGCTGAATTATCCTTACGCAGGTATTAAAGGTCTTTATACTTCAGATTTTGGCTCATACAATCGTAAAAATAATATGATTTTATTGAATATAACATTAATATATTTATATTAATATATTTATTCACATAGTGAGATTACCTTTCGTCCTCTTAAACATTAAATTTATAAAGATGCTAATTATGGTGGTGGTGGTTAATCCAAAACTCGTTATTATAGTTGAATTAAAACAAACAAACAAACATTTTTCTTTAATGAGTAAAATATACAGTATAACATGGATCTTTCCAATAATTTGCCACCAGTTATTCTTGGAAAATTTTTTTTTTCTAAACATATTGTAAAGAATTAATCATAATAAAAAATAATTATTTTACTATTATGCATGCCATTTTCTAGAAAAACCAGAATGATGATTTTTTTTGTTAATGTTTTTATTGAAATTAAAAGGTCACTATTACAAAATTTGTCATGATGTCATTAAGAGCTGAAGGCATGACTTTCAATTGACAATTCTTTAATAAGCCTCAAAGAATGTATGTACACCTCTCATTAAATAATGCGTGCAAATCTACTAGTGACGAATGGAAAAGTTTCTTCTATTTTAATGGTAAAAATTGACGTCATGTTTTATATTGCTATGGAAAATCGGGTCGTGTGACTAACAATGGAATTTACAGAAAGAAAACACATGGGAAATGTAAATTTTGTATTAGTATGTATTCTGTATGGAAGAATGGATGTCAAATATTGAAAATATACGAGTATGTGCGAGAAAATGCATTCAGTATGTTTTCCATGTTTAACGTGCCACTTCTCCCAATTGTCATTAGATCAACAAGCTGGGGAGGAGAGAAAGTGGTTGCAAAAATACCAAAGTTAAAATGTGATCTTATTGGTGAATTCTACCCAAACCACTTGAAAATGGACTATATCACTTGCACTTAGAATTTAGTGAAAGAGAATTCTATTCATGGTGTAATCTCCATCGAGATCCACAAGAAATTTCGTAGTTTTTGTATATGAACGCTATTGAAAATGTTTATCCGAAAACCATCATGTTAGCTTTGTTTATTGGTTTAGAAAACCTGATCTAAAGCTGCAAGATTTCCGTTTCCCACGAGTATCACAATTTTGTGTAATAATAAAAACATGGTGATACAAATTAATTTCTTTTTAAAATGGTCTTTTGTAGTGTTAAATTTTTTTAATTAGTTGCAGTATGTATCATTTATTATTATTAATATTATTAATTATCATTATCATTAAATATTATGATTATTATTAAATAAAAAAAATAAATATTCTATATATTCTATACATTAAAAACAAACAATAATTTTACACATTATAATTCTAGGAATTCAGGATGTAAACTAAAATCCGGCAATTTACCCAACCTATTTAACCAATCATGCAGTGTTACCTCATCTAAAATGTGATTCTTAGTTTTACAAACACCTTTACAATCTATATATTTACTTACAAAGAATTCACTAATATCTTCTTCCAAATCATCAATCTCATCAATTGGAAAGCTTATGTCAATGGTATCTTTTGTAGTTGTAGCTGTTGTTGATGTAGTTGTTGATGTTGCGGTTGTTGATGTTGATGCTGATGTTGAGAATGAGGAAGTTATTGAAGCTACTGATGATGATGACGATAATGATGATAATGAAATTATTGATGATGGTGAAGTGCTTTGGGTTAATTGTGTTGGCGACGTATTTAATAATGGAATATCTCTACTAATATTCGAAGAAACCAATAATGATGATGGTGGTAGTAGTAGTGGTAGTAATGGTGAAAAATTCTTATTACTAAAACTGTTGTAGACAGCAACAGTTTTTTCAGGAATAGCCTTGCGTATAAAAGCACCAGTTCTTTGTATAGAACTAATTGATGATGGGTGAAATATAAATAATTGAAACACATGTGGCATTGCTCTAGAAGAATCAAAGAATAAGAAAATTAATAATTAGAATAAATTATAATGAGAAATTTTTCATTATTACAAAATTTTTAATTAATACATACTCGAAAATATTGAGTTCGACTTTAGTTGGTAGGTAAGAATGTTTTCTTGGAGACTCATTATTATTACTATTTTTATTATTATAAAGTTGTGTATGAGTTTTTGATGCTCTATGTGCCAATAGTACAGCTTCATCACGTAATCTTTCTCCATTGCCACACGTCTTTTTAAAAAAATAATCATTATATTAATCGATATTTATATTATTCATCACATTTCAATATAATTTCGATACTTACAATATAGAGTTGACCTAATCCACCTAAATCATCAGCCATTATTGGACTAACATATGGAAGATCTAAGGCAGAGTTGTATGCGTAATATTGGATTCTGTCTAATCTTTGTTGAACATCGGTATAATCCTTAATTGGATTAGCCGGCGATGCTTTATGCACAAATCCATTTGGAATATAATCAGTTGTTGAATTATCAAATATAGATGGTAAAGAATGATAAAGATCGACCCTATATTAAAAAGAATTTAATTAGAATAATAATTTTTTTATCAAATCAATCAAATCAAAATATCTTATGTATATATATATATATAGTTACCATGGAGACCAACATACTCCACCAACCGGTTGTGGAAGCCCAGCATCTCTAAGCACCATTAAAAGAGCTATGGTTAAACCACCACCAGCTGAGTCACCCATCACGACAATATTTTGTGGATTTATAGGTTCGAATCCAGCATCAGTAGGAGGTTGGATTAAATACAAATAAGCTGCCAACATATCTACCAAAGCAGCTGGAAAAGGTGATTGTGGTGCTAACCTATAATCAACACTGAAGGCTCTGGCTGCACTTGCTTTAACAACTTTTTGTATCAGAAATCTGTGTTGAGCGGCGCTACCTAAAAAATAGGCTCCACCGTGTATATAAAGTATCACTCGGTCGACTGTAGTGATTTTTTTTCTATTTTTGGCCTCAACCCATTCTGCTTTTATTGGTTGTTGCTTGCATATATCCTCCTTCCATCTCCAACCAATTTTTTCTTCCTTACCGCTCAACAATCCCGACATTATATCTTCAGCTTGTGAACGACAAGTTTCAGGAATAAAATTTTTTTTTACGGCTATGGAAGGTGGCGAGGGCATATGAGCTTTTGACAATTTTTGTTGTCTCTCTATTGTTTTGTGTCTACTACGTTCTAAAAAGCTTTTCAACATTATGACACTAATGTGAAGTTTCAAGTCCCAGTTGGAATCGGGCACTTCATTTTTAAAATGTTTATATAACGTTGAAAGAAATTTGGGCGTTAATGTTGCTATATCTTTAGGATCAACTGCCATGTTAGTATTAATGGTTAATATTATATATTATCTAGTGTTTAAATAAGTTGTAGTTTTTATTATGGTTATTATTATATAGTTGTAGTTGTTATATTATATATATATATTTATTTATTTATTTATTTATTTATTTATTTATTTATTAAATTATATTTAAATATTAAATATTAAAGAGAGAGAAATAAATGAAAAAGAAAATTTGCTAAAACCTCCTTTTTTATTTTTTTTTTTTTATTTTTTATTTTAGAGAGTATATTGTGTGTGTGGAATAATAAGCGAGATGTGTTACTCATGTGGCATCAGGTATTATATATATAATAGTATAAATAAATACAACAAAATAATTAAATGCGCAGAAATTGTGATCTGAAATCGTTGGCGGAACCAGATCTTCGTCTTATTATTTTTGTACCCGTCCAAGTTCATAGCAATAAACTTGTTTCAAGACAATATTGCAACAAAATACACAATTTTTATATGACAACCCCTAACTAGAAAATTTCTTGATTCATGACAATTCAGTCAACAAATCACACACACACACACACACACACACAAAGCTTTGAGTTTTCCAAGATCAACGTGGTTCCAAAGGAACCAATCAAAAGGAATTATAATTTGATGAAAAAAGTTTCATGCTTGCCCATGAAAAAAAAAAAAAAAATCAGACACTATTATATTATTATGTATCCAATCAGTAAATTTTCGGGGTTAATAACGATAGTAATAGTTGTAATAGTGGTAAAAATCAGCTCATTGAAATCCGATACACCTGTGTTACTATGTAAAGTTCATTTATTTATTTTGTATATTAAAAGAGAGTATGACAAAAGAATCTAAATTATTATGCATAATAATAGCACTGGAAAAGGCAATTGTTATAATCTATATTTCAAAGGGTCAGATTTTAAAGACACTTGTGTGCATCCATCTATCCATCACCCATTACGACGTGCCGTTATTGTATTTGGTTTTAACAAAGATAATAATAAAGGCTATTCTCAAGTTAATTCATATATTAATATGATTTAGAACTTTCGAAAATCCACAGAATTTCAATCTATCAAAGTAAAAGGCTTATATTAATGCAATATGCACTTCCATCACAGATCACCAAACTTTTGTGCCATTTATAGAAAATAAATGAATGAGCACACACTCGAAACTTTCATTTCTTACCAAAAAAAAAAACTTTATTATTATATATACAGTTTAATAGATTGAGGGGTGGCGTTTGATAGACAAATTAGTCGATCCATTCATTACAAAACGGCAGAACAAATAATAATAGTATTGATGTTAATAGTATTAAAAATATGCACCAATCTAATGCAATGCACTAAAAATTTAATTAGTGGATTGATCTAATAAGAATTAATGCTAGCGAAAAAGTACAAGTCAATAATTTCATTACACCAATTATTAAAAATCAAAAAGAATAATATCTTTAATTAATTAAGTTCAATTTATTAAATTATAATCTTTAATGTCAAAATAAGCATTAGTTGTTTACATAATCTACAACACTCTTTAAATTAATTAGTTGATGAGATCGTTCAAGATACGGAATACTTCACACACTGTGACTATTACTTAATTATAACACGCTCATAATAATATTGTACCATCTATTATTCCTCTCTGTTCACACTATTACGTCGCAAAAACCTTAATGTACTCTACTGCATCTACTACCACATAGTCAATCAATACCCGGGAACAATTCGAAAATCGGGAAATAATGCTCCGATTTAATACTGATAATTGCATTAGCGTACATAATATTATATGTGGATCCAGTGCTCTATTTAGTGATCATAATTTTTATCAGAGTCGTATTGACACAAAAACTCGCTCTTCAAGCTCTTCCATATTAAGAATATCGATTACCAATTGTGCAAATATTATATATATACCATTCATTAGATAAATTAAAAGTTATAATTATAATAGTAATAATAATATATTTATTTTATTCTCGAAATTTTACGGACAATAATCCTAGTTCTTGGCGATAATGCTTAATACGTTAGCGAATACATATTTATCAGCAAAGATTTTAACAGTTTCCTTAAAATGGGGTCGCAATGAAATGGCTTACAGTTCACTATATAATAAATAAATTTTGCTCGCTACAGTAAACTTAATGATAAAATCTCTTTATTGTATACGTACAGTGAACATTAAAGAATTTTCCAATAAATCTTGTTCATAATGAAAGTCACATTATTATAGTCACATGGTCATTATCCCATCGACTCTATGAAACGCTAATTCTGCCTTCTTTCTAAATTTAGTTATAATAATAAAATCACATTCTAAAGATTTTTACATTATAAAAAGATGGCTTTATTATTCGTTGTGAAAAGCCTCAAGTTGTAATTTTAATAAGATATGAACACAGAGGAAGAATAGCCATCCATCTGAAACTACAGAAAATATTGTTAAAAAATCTAAGGTATCAAAATCATAGTTTCAAATGTATGTTAAAAGACGAGAATGAGGAAGAAAATTCTTGGAATTGAAGCTTGCTTTATGTTTATGGATGCAACAAACTTTATCTTTAAATCTAGCTAGCTATTTCTGGAGATATATTGAAATCAAAAGGATTGCAATTTTCAAAAAAGAAGATTTTAATGGATCAAGTGGTTGATTGTCAACAATAAATAAATTAAAGTATTAATATAAACAAGAATTTGGGAACAATGGATCCTGATTTGAAGAATAATACCCATATTTAGTTAGAATGCTTTTTTGTGTGATCTACAAAGCTTTGCAAATCTAGTTTATCAATTATTCAATAACTTGTATATATAAGGTAATCGAGGTAAATGTTAAGGACAAGATCTACGGATCTGTTTGTAAAATGTATTTAATGAACGTTTTATTAACTATTCGATAGTTATATAGGCAGGTTTGATCAATAAACGTAAGTTGCCTCAACGAAATGATAATAAAACCTGTTTTGTTTACCCAGTAAATTATGTTAATAAATAATCATTTAATTTTTTGCATCAACTTTTCTCCAAAATCAACGATTATTATCATTGTTATTATGCACAATTTCCTGACTATGGTCTTCAATTCCCAAGCTAATTTTGCTGAATTGAGGCAATTAATTAAAAAAGTATGAAATTAACAAACTAATTTATTTACAAAGTAATTTCTCAAGTTGTTTCACTGTTTTCGTAAAAAATATTGTTTGAAATACCAGGTCAAGTATGTGAAGAATTAATATCAAGTGTCATTAAGCTCAATTTAATATTATGAAACACAAGAACATAAGATCATTAATTAATTACCTCTTAGCAATACATCAGCGTGAGTTGTGAACGGGTTGCAAATAAAAAGGCAAATATTTGTATTCATATTGGAGACATGCTAATCTAAGATTACTGACCTCTATAGATTTTTGACGTTTTTTCCTAGGTTGAAACCGATTGAAAATAAAGCGCGTGATATCGAATCAAGATTATGGAATTTTAATTGCGGTATTTTAAAAAAAAAAATTTTATCTTTGTCAATCAAAAACAAATTAAATCACGCGATTTAATTGGTTGATCAAATATATACAAATCGATTATCAATATCAAAATAATAATAATCTTTTTTATTTCATTTGAGAAGTATTCATTACAATAGAAACACATGAAACACATAAAGACGCAATTATTACAAACAATAATACTGATAAATTAAACTCTTTTTTTTAACGAAACAATTGTCTTATTCACGTTAGAGATTAAAATATCTAAACATTTCGTTTTAATACAATATATATCAATCAATGTTTATATATCGTGTGTAAATAATCTACGAAATTTTAAGAAAAAGACATAATTAAAAATTTGATGCAGCAATTAATATTATAATAATCTTACTCCATCGCATATTTTCATTCCAAGAACTACCAATCCATCAGAAAAACACATCAAACACAAGACCAGGTCTCTTGTCGTCGAAATAATAAGTTTCAAACATAGTAACGATATGGACAGAAAAAATAACAACAAAACAAGAAGATATCGAAAAGAATCAACTTCATTGTTGCAAGTAGATTTATAAATACAACCAAACGACTATACTTTATGAAATATGCATATCACCCAGGTGTATAGTTGACTTTATATATCAGAATACCAGTGGGTTATTGGGTTACTAGTTGATGGTGCTATTGATGTCAAAAAAAAATTAAATACCTTCATTCTGTTGATAGGATTCTGTTCATTCGCCTAGTCTTCCAAAGAGATGCATACTATATACAAAATTGTTACCACGTACAACTTACTTTCTTAGCAATAATCAGATGTATAGTTAAAATAGATAAAATAATAATTGTTAACAACAGCAATACAACGAGAGGTACTTTTGGATATAATGAAAGACATTAATAATAATAATCATAATTATCAACAAAAAGTAATTGGCACTAAGATGGTACCATAAAAAATTATTCAAAAATCGCTCACGTTCATTTTTACATCGATTCAATGAATGAATGATCTCTATTATCAGATGTAAAAAAATTATCAAATTGAAATATGTGCAGATCGTGTTACGCATATATCATTTTAAAAAAACCCTCATCAAAACTACAAGTTGGTATCACTCGAGCAACATAAAATAGATATTCGAATAGATCATTCATAAATTTTATTTAAAAAAAAGTATAGATATAAAGGAATATCGTATATGCAATAGTATAAATATAACATGACCTAGTGAGGCTCACATTTTAAATTTAGATGATAAATATAGGTTTAAAATGAGGCAAGAATAATAAATAAAATGATTGCTGTTGATTAGTTGTCATCGTCTAGAGATAAATTTGACTTTTAGATATATTTTTAAAACAGATGACTTGCAAAAATAAGGCCAGAATAGTGTTAACGTGTCACGAAATTTACTCGACTTTGTTCAATGGCATCCCTATTTCGAAGAAAGTGGGGAATATTTGAATTTCGTAAAAATATTTGTCTTTTTTTGAAGTCTAAAATCTC